GGCCCACGCGCCCGCGCCGGCCGTCACAGACCGGCGGCCTGCCCAGCGGGGCCGGGCAGGTGCCGAGTGCCTCGAAGCCCTTCAGGTGAGTGTCCTCCCTCGCGGCAAGGCAGAGCCCTGGCGCTCCGTGTGGCGCCTCGTGACCCTTGCAAGGGGTTGGGCTGAGTGAGGAGATGCAAAGGGCTGAGTGGGAGTAGAGGCAAGTCTAATGCATGGACTTTGACAGCTGGGGCTTCCCTCCTGGCACCCCAGTAGGGGATGCTGCCTCCCTGGGCACGTCCTCCTTCACCGCTGGCTTTGCAGGTCCACCAAGGGCGCCTCCAAGGCTCGCCGGGACCAGATCAATGCGGAGCTGCAGGCGCTGCGCTCGCTGCTGCCCATGTCCTGCCGGGAGAAGGAGCGCCTCTCCTACCTCAACACCATGGCGCTCGTGTGCCTCCGCCTGCGCGCCGCTCGCCTCTTCCCGACGGGTGAGCAGCGGCCGTGCGCTCCGGCCCCTGTCCAGCCCGGCGCTTACAGCTGTGCCCTTCCCGCAGACTCGGCTCCTCCTGCAGGACCAGCCTTGGGCACAGACCTGCTCTCCCTGCTCCCGGGCTTCTTCCTCGTGCTCTTGGCCAACGGCAAGCTGGCCTACGTCTCCGAGAACGTGAGCGAGGTGCTGGGCCTCTCCACGGTAAGGCCTCCCTGCGCCTTCGCTGCGAGCCCCCTGCGCTCTGGAGAGCGGCGCGTGCAGGGAGTCGAGGTCTGCTCTGCGCTCACGGCGTGCTCTTCGGCAGGCGGAGCTCCTTTCCCAGGGGGACACGGTCTTCGACATGGTGGAGGGGACAGCACGGGAGGTCGTGCGAGAAAAGCTCCTTCTCGCTCAGGAGCGGCCAGGAGCTGGTAAGGCTGAGGAGAGCAGAGCACGCAGGGAGCTCTCTAGCTCTTCTGGGGCTGTGGTTAGGGACCCGCCAGGCCCCTTGCAAAGCCCCTGACTTGCTATTATCCTCCTGCTTTGTGGCAGAAGTGACATTCGTCAGCGAGATGCGCACATCCAAAGCCTTCCGGCTGCGGCACGGGGGGAACCGGGCCGTGACTGTGCGCGGGCGCTTTGTGGCCCAGCGCGCACCCGCCTGCC